CACCCGAGAGCACTGCCGCCGGTAAGCTTCAGTTTTTCGTAATTTTTTGGCCCTCCGAGGGCCCTAGGGTTGTTTTATCGCAGGGACCGATGCAAGTGTGGCCGAATTCGGCTGGAAACTGCCAAAAACGGCCAACGCAAGGCGAATCGCCGCCGCTTGCCGTCGCCGGAGCACGGCAGAGCCGCCGTGCCAGAATTGCGATATTGGCCGAAAGGGGCCCTAGGTCTAATTTGGAATTTTTTGGGAGACGTGCAGGTACCAATAGTGCATTTCAGTTCCCCGGGAAAAAATTAGGAAAAATTAGGGACAGTCTGTAGGCGCACCGTAGAGCCGTATTCGGACCCCGAAACAAGTAAGGACCCCTCACCCTATTTCCTATTACGGTATTAAAGTTCAATAAATGATAAAACGGTATTTCATGAATCAACAGATGTGTGAAATTGTTTAAGATCGCTAATGGAGCCCGAGTCTGGTGTGTTTGTCGGTTAACTGTTGTTTGGCCTATATTACGGTTTTAAATGCAGTATGAGGTCTGATGTTTTCATTTTATAGTTTCGTGTGCATATATTACTGTTTTATTGATTATGGGTTAAATGACTGAGAACCCGATGTTGTATGTCGTCTTGTTTGGCATAAATTACCAGTTTGCTTGTTTGTGTGTGTGAATTGATGATGCTAACTGAGGAAAAGGGGAATGAAAGGTTATGTAAATTGATAATTGTATAATGTGGTCAGTCTGACTAGATATCCTGGGAGATGGTGGACGGACCGGGTCCGTATGGAACCCTACCAAGATTGTGGTCTCTCATACCGGACTAGGTATGGAGACCTTATGTGTTTTGGCGCTCATACCGGACGGGGTATGGGAACGACCCTGAAATCTGATTACAAGTGTTAAGGGTTCACGGGTAGCGGGACCCCTATGGATCCCCATGGATACTAGTAGGCTGGTAAATGAAGAAAAATATGTTGTGTAATGATTGAATTGCAAAAGGTGTGATAAGTATTATGTTATACAGCTCACATGATTTCATGATGATGATAATGTTATTGCTTTCGTATATTATTTTATGAATTTCACCGAGATATGTGGATAGTAAAGGATTTTATTATTGATAAAAGAATTTGTTGTAAATTATGCTCCATTGGTCTTTTTGTGTTTTCTACCCACTTTTACCTCCGTGACAGTGAGATAGTGTGATGTCTTTACTGGGTTGGTGTAGCTCATTCTTTATTTAATCATTTCAGATTAGGAAGACATTGTTCCCGAGCCTGTTCCGCAGGAAGACGGCGAAGGGGACGCCTGAAGACTCCGTAGTTATATTTATAGCTTTTATTTTCGAGTTTATCTTTTATTTAGTTTGTTCTTTTATACTTTGAGCACGTTTTTGGTTTTAGTGTAAGGGATGTTAATCAAATTTTTATTACGCTTTCGCATTTGACATTTTTAATACACATATTTTATTTTAAAATTCTGGGGCCGTTACATAAGCTAGTAAGATTATCGACTATTTAATTGAGCTTTTTATTATTTATAAATGGATTATGTAATTATAAACTGGTCTATTTATCATCTCCTTACCTAGATTTCATTGCGAACCTTTAGCTAAGGCTTATATTAGATGTGTATTTTGGATTATGAAGTCTACTCTAATTTATTAATGATGATCAATACTTCATACATTTAAATCTCAATCAACTACCATCTTTATCACCAAAGTAGGTTTATATGCTTTATAATTGTGAATATTAATTTAATATATCATTTTTATTATCTGATGTGTTAATTTTTCAAAAAGTAAAATGCTTAACTTTATATGTAGTGATTTTTGTTATGTAAAATATAATATTTATAAATATCTATAAATAAAAATTAATTAATTATTTCTGAAATATTTTGTAAGATTTATTTATATAGACTCTGAATTTATTTTTACTCAATTATTATATATATATATATTTAAAAATGCTCATGTAAATGAACTAGTATATATAAAAAGAAGACCAAAAGTGCCACATAAAATTTCTTCATTTTTTGAAATACTTTTAACATAAAATTAATGCGATAATATATCTTAAGATAGAGTTTTATTTTAGTTAACTACAAAAAATTTTAATTGGGTATATAACTTAATCATAATTTAATGAAAAATCTGATTATATTTTGATTAAGAAAACTTTAACCAAGTTAGTAATCTCATAATTTAAATATGTATAACAACTATTTACAAATTTTTAGTTAAAATGATAATATATACATAATAAATAAAATATAGTTAAAAGTGATAATATTTAAATATAATCTATTTAAATTTTTATTTAGTTGCAAACGCTAAAATTATGCACAATTTTAATTCTTGATCACTTATTTATTATTTATACCTCATTTACCATGTAAATCTTTCATCAAAACATAGGTACAATAACTTTTCTTACATTTTTATTAGCGATTTTTTTTTTTTAAATTTTTTTATAAAATTTGTTTCACATAAAATAATATATATGTTTTCTTTATATACATATAAAAAATTTTAATTAAATTATTAAATTAATTCTTGATGTTTAATATTTATTATAATTTGATCTTTAATATTTTCAATTTATCTTAAACATTTGGTTTCCTTTCATTTATTAATGAAAGAAATTAAAATACGTGTATTATTTTTAAATGTCTCAAAAAATAATTTATAAAAATGATCTTGACTAATTTATTTAAGTTATTGAAAGTCATTCTTTGAGGTTTTTTTTTTTTTTTTTTTTTTTTTTTTTAAGATAGCAAAATGCAAATTAACTATTTTAATTTGTACTATTAAATGAAAAAAATTATATATTTGAAATAAAGGGAGGTTAGGGATCAAACTTTAAACACTAATTTAGTAATTTCTTCAAAAATTATCTAAAATATCTTGTACGTGGCATAACTGAAAATCTAGTTGATATAATTTAAATGCATTATTAAAATTTCATTTAAAAACTTTTGCGAATTTGACTTCCATCATTTAATATTTTTGTTTTACTTAACTAATTAACTTTAGTAATATATATATATTTTAAATTAAGGATATGTACATTAATAATAAATATAACAATATAATAATTTAGTTATTAAAATTTTAATACTTCACTTAAATATTAAAAATTTAAATTTTATTAAAAATATAGAACATGCTACTTCATAAATAAATTACAAGTTAGCAACGAAAGGTTCTTAATTCTTGATTTAATTTACTTAAAACTTTAATTTATTAATATAGATGTAGGACAAAGTTATATTTCTTCCCAATAGAATACGATAAAAGAAACATTATATCCGATTTATTCCTTCTTTGCCCTTAGTCAGTATGATCACACCAAGTTAATATCCGATTTATTTTTTTTTTAAAATTATAAATATGCATGAGGATGATAATTATTATTATTTTATAAAAAATGACCTTTTACGTCTTTCAACAACGCTCCTCTTCATTGACTCTGCGCAAGCCCTAACTCTTGTGGGCCCCCTCGACTTTTCACACCTAAGCCCAAAATTAAGCTGTTCAAAGTTTCCAGCACGCAGAGAGAGATTCCTTGATTTTCTTTGTATCTTGCTGCCCGCTGCTCCTTCTACTTCCTTTGCAGGCGGAGATCAGGGCCAAGCGCAGTACGAAAACATGTCTAGGCAAGCCACCAGATTCATCACCTATTTATCTTCCAAGTTTCGGATCCACCAACCCCATTCATCACCGTCAAATCCTCCGTCTCGCTCTTTTTCATCGGCTCCCCCGCCCTCGCCGCCCGTTTTCGTCGACAAGAACACTCGCGTCATCTGTCAAGGGATCACCGGAAAGAATGGAACTTTCCACACCGAACAGGCCATTGAATACGGCACGAAAATGGTACTGGAATCATATACGTAGGTCTGCCTGTGTCCTACGTTTTTTTTTTAATTAGCTTTTAATGTTTTGATGTGTTGCGTCCTAATTATTTGGACGACTTGATGATTTGTTTCTATCTGATCTTTATTTTGTATATAGTCGTTCATTTACATATACAAGTATTCTCTTTTGGTTGCGCATACTGTAAGTTGCAAATTTCTGGTAGATCGCTGTTATTGTAAGTTTTGATCGTTACAACAGTTCAAAAAAGTGGCATCTGTTATTCTCATGTAAAAATATATATTAGAGCATGCTTTGATGTCTGATTACTGGGATTGTGAGTTGGCATAGCTTTTGTTCCAGTCACTTGAAGTTTAGGGTGTTAAATTTTCAGTTTACGATGGACTATGCCTGTGTAAGATGTATGTATGACTGAGATGGTGTGGGAACTGCCTAAGGATATTCTTTCTGGTGTTCTTGCTTTGGAATTGGTTTAAGGCTTAACATTCAGTAGTAAAATTTTGTCTTTCTTTTGGTATTGCATAGGTTATTAAAGGGGGTTTAGTACAATTCTACTTGAAGTGCTGATTGAGTGATCTTGGTTCATCTGGAGTTTCAAGTTCGCTTTTAAACTTTACTTTCTTCTCTCTGTTTCTTTTATAGGTTGCAGGAGTTACACCAAAGAAGGGTGGCACTGAACACTTGGGTCTTCCTGTTTTCAACACAGTGGCTGAAGCAAAAGCTGAAACAAAGGCTAATGCATCCGTGATTTATGTTCCACCACCTTTTGCTGCAGCTGCTATTATGGAGGCAATGGAAGCTGAGTTGGATCTGGTTGTGTGCATCACTGAAGGAATTCCTCAACATGATATGGTAAAAAATAGTGATAGTCATTTCATCTATGCCTTATCAGATAGTCTGACAATTTTAGCGTGTTATTTGTGATAGTTAGAAGAGAAGTGAACTGACACTGTAAGGTGCCTTGTGTGTTAATATATACATAGAAGTGGATTTAAATGGCGGAGCAATTTGAATGTGAATTCCAGAAATTGACTCCTGCAAATTGAGGGTCCGGCATTTCTTTTATTTCAAATTCAGGGATGTAGCTTTAACTCATCTTTTAGTACATGTATAGCTAGTTATGTACAGCTATTGGTTAACCCCATAATTCGTCTGTCTAAGATATGGTCAGAACTGAATGTTTATAGTTAGGTTGATATCAGAATTTCTCTAAATTATTTTTTTGGTATCAGAAATTATATTTTTTATGTACAGGTCAGAGTGAAGGCTGCTCTTAATAAGCAGTCAAAAACTAGATTAATTGGTCCAAACTGTCCCGGGACCATTAAACCTGGAGAGTGCAAGATCGGAATTATGCCTGGATACATTCACAAACCAGGCCGCATTGGAATTGTTTCTCGATCTGGCACATTGACATATGAAGCGGTAAATCCTCTTTTGCATTTGTTTTCTTGAGATTTGAGGCTTTTGTGCTGCTCATAAATATTTCTTCTTTGCCATTTTGCGATTCGTGGTCATCAAAAGGCTCTGCCATGGGGATATGTTTTTCATGACTTCTGTAAGTACTAACGAAACAGAAATGTTCCTTATGACTTATGTCAAGAAAGTGTACATAAAAGCAGGTGGTGAGGACCCCTCACCCACCACCCTCCCGTTTTTTTGTTCTTTTAATCTTCATCATATGTTATTTAAATTATTTGTTCAACCAAACTAAATTATAACTTACCTGGATTTTCAACATGGTACCACCAAAGGCCACTTTTGGCACCAATGGGTAGGCTAGGATACTACAGTAGTTGATTAGAGTTGTTAGGCAAGTGTATGAATAGGGTTGTCTATATGACTATAATAACCTGATATGTTTGAAATATTTGTGATGAATTTAAAATCTTAATACATGCAAAATAAAAGTAAATTCAAATCTTATTTAAAAAAAAGTAAATTCAAATATTGAATTTTAAAGTATATATTCGTTAAAAATGTATATGTAAAATTACTTTGTAAATAATATTTTCAAGATCATGGTCAAAATCTATCTTGGGTGCCAAATAGCCTGCCATGAGGTGCTTTTCAGTCTTCTCTGGTGAGGTTAATGGTGGCCCAGCAGTAGATTGGGTGGTGCTGTCTTGATTTTTTAATTTCTTAATATTGTGGTATCTTTTTAATTATCTTTTTTAGGGAAGTACATTAGTGTAAGGACTAAATATGAAAGAAATAACAATCAAAATTAGTTTCTTGTTTTTCCTCTTCAAAAGATAGGCATTTTGGTAAAAATACACTCTACCATATGGGGGAATATTAACACTCAACCTGGGTACGGTAGTGGCCTAACCTACTCATGTGAGTTTTGATTTCAAAAACTGGATAGTGTTTGGTTAGTGATCTTTTGTTTGGTGAATAATGGCATAGCCTGTATTGAGTAGGGTGGGTAAGACCTCCTTGCTCAAATTTACGTATTTTCCTGGGATTGGAAGTCTTCCTGACTTCATTCTCTCTCTCTCTCTATATATATATATATATATATATATTATAGCTCTGTCTGTGTATCACATATGAACGAGAGTGCTGTCAGCATGTTGAACTGCATTATGCCTGCTTTAGTTATATTGGTAAGTGAGAGAACAATTATGAATATGATTATGGGATTGTTTCGTTAGAACCAATTGGCTATAGCTAATGCTGATCCTTATAGCTAAAGGTAGATTCTGTATAAAAATCAGTTCTTAAAAAGGTATCAGAAATAAAAGATAATAATATCCCCATGTAAATAAATATCCTGGAGATTTGAAGTAATTTGGAGGTCAACAAATTTTTAAAGAAGTATATGGTCTCATAAGTGTTTGATTTTATGTTTCTTTCTAATACATGATTATACAAATGGCTTGCTAAAAAGTTGTCTTTTTGAAGCATTATTGAAGATATAATCTGTAGTATTACACTATCCAAATATAATTTTGAAGCATCCAAAGTCAACTGCAATTACCTTTTTTCCTTGCAAAATAACAAGCATTATCATCTCCTACTATATATTCTATATTTTATAGGTTTTCCAAACAACTGCAGTAGGTCTGGGTCAATCTACCTGTGTTGGTATTGGTGGAGATCCTTTTAATGGAACGAACTTTGTTGATTGCTTGAAGAAATTCCTTGTAGATCCTCAGACAGAAGGTAAATCATCATCTATATAAAAGGAATCTTGGTTCTGAATTTTTTAGTATTCCTTAAAATCTTTTGTTCTTTCATCATGTTTACCTTTCTCCCTCTCCAATGAATTACTGAAAGGTATGAAGTGGCTCTTTCACGTGATTTGTTTTTTCTTCTTTCTAAGGACATAAATTATCAATCTTTAAGTGTTCTGGATTGAAACATGTAATCTTCAACAATGGCATTGCTAATGTAATGGTGACTGCCTTGTCTCCTACTTATAAATCATTTAATGAGTGGCTGTTGAAGGGATTAATCTTATGGGTTTAAAGCTTAACAAGAGACTCTTATATGATAATTTTTGAACTATGGATAGTTGTTTTCTTTTGCTCTTCACTTGAATTATTTAATGATAGATCATAAACAAATGGACAAACTTTTAACCTTCAGGTAAGGTAGAAATGCATGTAATCTTATTATGTTATTTGCATTCCAGGTATTGTTCTTATAGGAGAAATTGGGGGCACTGCTGAAGAGGATGCTGCTGCTTTGATAAAGGTAACCTCAACATCAAGAAATCTGGGTTTGACTCAACTTCGAATACTATTTGTCTGCATGTATAATGAGATATATAAGTTTCTTAATCTGCTTACCAACTTGGGTAGTGGCTAGCATGCACTAATCCACCCAAATTGCTAGTCAAAAGAAAAAAAAGAGGAGGTGGACTTTCAGGGAGTCTTCAAAGATGAATTGAATAAGCCATCATTTTTATTTCGTATCTTTCTCTTAACTACTTATTGATTAGAATAAACTTATGGCAAAAACTGGTAGCATACTTATATTCTCATAGTTTCCTTCCCCAAAAAAAGTTGGTGTATTCTTTTTGATTTATCTATTGATCGGATCTTTGCACTTTTAGCTGGCATAACTAATTCTGTCCGCCATGTAGATTATAATCCCTCCCTTTGAAATTCTTGGGCTGACTCTGGTAAGATTAAAATTTAGATCCTGTAAGAATAAGGTTTGCTGCCTTTACTTCATATTTTCTGTGGACTGTGGTTTCCATGATGCGAGTAAATAAATGCAATTTTCAAGGAAGCCCATGCTTAGGTTGAGTCTTTGCTAGTTTTAAGGCTCTCAAAGATCTTCAAAAAAGTTGTTTTGACTCCAATGCTTGTGGTCCAATGATTTATACTTTTGAGTGGTTGTTGAAGGTGAACAAAACAGGACTGAATGGTGTCTAATACTTTAGGACTTCCTTTACGCAGAAACATTTTAGGATACGGTAAGAATAGTTATGTAATTTTATTATTTCTATGTATTGCAAAATATATTTAGGAAATTTAAATATTTAAGTAATTATAAAATTTATCTATTTTATAAATTATTATGGTTTAGGAACTTTGTTTTATTTTTATTGTCTTTGGACTTTAGTTTCTTACTGTAGTCAGGATTCCGTTCCCTATTTCTAGGATTATGTGCATTTAGGATTTAGTATGTCTAGTGATTGGTTTTTGTGATCCAAAAACTGAAGTGTAGATCGAATTATGTCTGGTATTTACTAAAATATTTAGTAGCTCTTTTATATATAGACATCAAACAGTCTCCAAGTAATATCCTAGCTTCACATGTTGTTGTCCTCTCTAGTTGTTGCCTTCTTCAACTGCCATGACTTGTAGCCATCCCTTTCTCTTTCTGTATCTTTTTTTTCCCTCGGTCTTCTTCTCGTTTTTTCCTGTCTTCCTCAGTTTCACTGCCTCTATTTTCGTCCTCTTCTCAGTCGGAATGAGCATATCCCAAAAATCAAGTCACCATTAGGTGTTGACTAGGATGCAGCCTGAGTTATATCCTCCCTCCAATCTCCCTTCCTCTTTTTATCTTCCCCTTAGCTCAATTAGCACCGCTATATACTTGTTATTCCTTTTGTATTCTCTCTCCTTGGTCTATCTCTTCCCTCTACCATCATCCTGTTCATCCAACCTAGATGTGCATTAGCCATTTTAGATGGACAGCATAAGCTCACTTCTTGAGCTCTTCTGGTCCAGAGTGTGACCTGACCCAAGTCCCATTTCCCTTGTCCAATCAAGGTCAATATGAGCTGATGTGTTTAATCTTGATCATTACCCTTCTGCTTTTTCAAGTGGGGGCCTCAGCACCAGGATCCTGCTTGTTAGCCATGTGTGGTCAATAGACTTTCTTAATTTCTTTTACTATCAGTTGTAATTTTTATATATTTTTCATTTTTCATTCATATATCTGAAGTTTAGTCTCTATATACTAGTCATGTATATTTTTTTACTTTTTTTTTTTACTTTTCATTGTTTCAGAATGATTAGAAACTCTGCTTCCCATATAAAAATATCTTTTAACTCTCATTTTCTAAATTCATATTGTATTTTTTATCTCCAAAACATATAAATACTTGATACTTAAGAGAATCATAGTGAAAATAATGGAGTTAGAAAATTTGAAAATATTGTTTTTAATATTCTCTATAAAATTATTTTATTTGTACTTTATTATTTTACAAATATACATCTCCTATATGCTTTTATGAATAAATACATGTGTAAATGTATTTCAAAAAAATAAATACATGCATAAATATTTACAATTTAGAAAATAAAAACTATAAGATACTTCGTATTCTAAATGAAGCTAAATTTTTTTTGTATTTCATTAATTTATATTAGTTGGCTATTATTTCGAAAAAATTCTCATTTGTTTTGATTGTTTAGTGTATTTTCCAAATGATTTTTCGCACATGTTTTTGATTTTGCTTATTGTTGGGTAAGATATTTTTCTTAATTAACATATTTTTTTTTAATTTTTATTTTATTATTTGTATTATTCAAGTACAATAAGGACTTTTTCTCTCAAAAAAAAAAAAGAAAATAAAGTACAGTAGGGGCATTAACTTATAACAGTTATATGGCTATTATTTCCTTCTAAAAAAGGTAAAGCCCTTCTCATCCCTTTCTTGGTAATTTCACACGTAAACCTTTTCTTCTCAAAGTACACCTAAACATTTCTGTTGTAAAATCAACCACATTCTTCATAGACGCATTTCGGATTTTACCAAAAGCAGGCTATAGCAATGAGCTCCTCCCTTGGCCTGTACTATAGAAACAGCATAAGCCCAAAGAGAATGACCCTGTGAATTGATGCTTTGATAATTGGGGACAATTATGAGATCTAAATTCTCTTGTTCTCCATTTTCTTTGTTATTTATCTGCTTTGATCCCTTTTTCCCGTTCCTCTTTCTCTATTCTTTTCTTATTGTATTTTGTTAAAGGGTCTGCTTTGTACATAAAGATATATAATTTTGCACTTTTTTTCTTTTTCTGGTGAAATGATTAAATTTTAGTTTTGTATACTTTCTCAAAGGGTAGCATCATTTGCTTGTAAGGAAAGAATTGTAGGTATTCTTAGAGAAGCCAAGCCTCCATCTCTATTGCCTTTTTCTTTCTTAGAAGAACTTGGGGTAGAATCCCCACTATTGAGAAACTAATGAGAAGAGGCAAGATTCTTGTGAATTGACGTTCCCTCTTTGTGTTCAAAAGAATGAATACTTTGGTAATTTTCTGCTTTCTGTTATGAGACTTGCTCTTTGTATTCAACCTTCAGTCACCTTAAGAACACTTGGGTAGCTAGTGGGTCCATTGTGAGTGAATTATATGCTTGAGATGATATTTGAGAGGGCAGAAGAATCGAGGATTTGGTTTTTCTTTATTTTCAGAAAAAAGAAGTTGGTTTGTCTTCTACTTCTCTTTTTCTTTTTCTTTTTCTTTTTCGTGCATTGCTTGGAAAGAGAGAAAAAAAGAGTTTTAAGGGCAATCATTCTTTTGATAGAATAAGAGATCGTTGGTTGTGGATTTTATATGTTTTGTCGAAAGATTGTCCTTTCTATGATGAAGAAGATCTTGGACCTATTAGATATTTTGTCTTTTTCGGTGTAAACTCCTTATGTGGGTGGTATCCTCTTGGTGCCTTGTGAATGAAGGTTCTTCTCTCTCTCTCTCTCTCTCAATAAAATGGTTTTCTCATGGGTAAAATTGTAGTTATGATACTTCATTCAATTATTGGTATTTTTGTAACTTTATCTTTTGCAGAACATTCAAGGATTGGCTTTATGCTATTCTTGTTATTGGGCAATGTCTTATTTTGAAGTGATAGTTCCTACTAGAAATATGAAGTACCAAAAGTTTCGTGCTTTACCCCTGATCAGTCATCCTTTGTTCCTTCTCATTCACTTTTATGGTATCTTGTTCTCTTTTGCTTTGAATTCTTTTCACTCTTACATCACTTTTGATTCAGACCTATTTTATCCTGTTCAATTCTTAGATCTTAGTTATTTAATAAGTAGAAGTCAGTATGATTTCCACATTTAACCTATAATTGAATCAAGCATTCATGTTTTCAGATTCAGAACCATGAATTTTGTATTCCCACTTGTCAAGGAAGAAACCACCGGAACATCTAGCTTGAATTAAACATGAAAGTGACTTGGAGTTTGAATGCCATTTTTATTCAAATTTCTATTATATTTCTGTAGAAAATATCATAATTAGAAGAATAAATTAGGATTAAAAATGGTTATTTACAACTGTTATGTGCTGTAAATGGAGGAACCATTTACAGCTGTTATGAGCAGTAAATGGAGGGAATCACCAACAAATTTGTTACAACAAATTTGTCCTTAGAAACAGAATTTTGTTAGGTTTCTCTCCAGAATTTGTTAGGTTGTTAGGGTAGTAGACTAGTATATATATATATGTGTGGAAATCATTCATCAAAAGAATGAAAAGAATATTCTCTCAATTTTCTTCATGGTATGAGAGCCATACCTGATCCAAAAAGAAATTGATATCAAACCTTGCTGAGCCGTAATCAAAAATGGCCTCGGGTGAGCTTCCATCCTCTCCACCAGAAGTTTCCTCTGGTTCTTATCATCACACAGCAACAATTAGAGCTGTGAGTGAACTACCATCATCCTGTATCACAGGACATAAACTCGATGGCAACAACTTCCTTCAATGGTCGTCGTTTGTCCGTCTTTTCATCCGCGGAAGGGGGCATTATGGGCACCTCACTGACGAGCTCATGCCTCCTCCAGCGTCTGATGCAAATACACAAACCTGGGAGATCGAAGACAGTATGGTCATGTCCTGGCTCATTACTTCAATGACTCTTGAAATCGGAGAGAATTTCCTTCTCTACGAAACTGCTCATGAAATCTGGAAGGCAGCACAGGAACTCTACTCCAGCAAGCAAAATACTTCTGCAATATTCAAAATCGAGTCAACTCTTCATGACCTTCGACAAGGAGAACTCAGTGTCACCTAGTATTACAGTATCTTTTGTCGAAATTGGCAGCAGATGGACGACTTCGAAGAGCGTCACTGGAATTGCCCGAGGACGCGAAAAATTTCAAAGTCTGTGGAAGAAAGCGAGTATTCAAATTCCTGCTAGGGCTAAACAAAAATCTCGACACGATTTGGGGACGTGTTCTGAGCACCAAACCCTTGTCAAGTTTTCGAGAAGTTTTTTCTGAGGTTCGACACGAGGAGAGTCGTCGGAAGATCATGATGGGAGAGAATGACCAACCTCACCAGACTGAAAATTCTTCAGCTCTCATAACCTGAGCGATTGACATTCAAACGAAGAAGACAAGGCCCTGGTGCGACCACTGTCGGAAGTTAGGGCACACTCGGGAACGTTGCTGGAAGCTTCACGGCAAGCCAAGTGACTGGAAACCACCTTGGGGTGAGTGGAAAATGTCGAAAGCAGAGACCTCCAGCAAGCTTCGAGGAAATCACGTGACGGCTGAGGAAGTAATTTTTGATGAGATGGGAAAAGACCCATTTACCCCTGAACAGTTAGAAGCTCTCCAACAAATCTTGTACAAGAAATCTCATCCAGTCAGTGCCTCTGTGACACACAAAGGTAATATTTATGGTTTATCTATTCTTTTAGAAAAAAGATAGGTGTGGGTGATAGACTCTGGAGCATCTGATCATATGAGTGGCGATTTCTCAATGTTCCAAAATTACAGAAGATATGAAGAAAATATTTCAATCAGAATTGCAAATGGTTCTCTCTCAAAAGTGGCAGGAATGGGCTCTGTAAATTTGTCGCCAAATTTGACTCTCTGTTCAGTTCTCTATGTTTCAAATTTGGATTGTAATTTGTTGTCTGTCAGCAAACTATGTAAAGATTTGAAATGTGCTGCGAAATTTGTTTCTAATATGTGTAATTTCCAGGATTTGGACTCGGGGAGGACGATTGGCAATGCTAGGATGAGCTTGGGATTATATTTGCTTCAAGTCAACACCTCTAAAAGACAAGCTCACAATGCAGTATGTGAAAACTCTGTTCCTATTTTTAAAAATAATGATCATGATATTATGTTGTGGCATTATAGAATAGGACATCCAAATTTCATGTACTTAAAAAGGATGTTTCCACTATTATTTAAAGGAAAAGATCCAGTTTCATTACAGTGTGAAGTTTGCCAATTTTCTAAACATACTCGAAGTTCATTCCATAGTCTACCATATAAACCATCTAAACCATTTGCATTAATTCACAGTGATGTTTGGGGTCCTTAAAGGGTTTCCAACGTTTCCGGAGTTAGGTGGTTTGTATCTTTTATTGATGACCATACAAGAATTACTTGTGTATTTCTCATGAAGGAAAAATCTGAAGTGGAATCCCTATTTAAAAAATTTCATACAATGATTCGAACCCAATTTCATGCTACCATCCAAGTATTGAAATTCGACAATGCTTGTGAATATTTTGAAAATACTCTTGAAAAATATTTTACTGAACATGGCATTATTCATCAAACCTCCTGCGTTCATACTCCATAGCAAAACGGCATAGCTGAAAGAAAAAACCGACATATTCTTGAGGTTGCTAGATCTCTCATGTTCACCACACATGTACCAAAATATCTTTGGGGAGAGGCTGTCCTTACAACTACCTATTTGATTGCCCTCCCGTATTCTACAGTTTCAATCATCATATACTATCCTCTCAAAAATCTTTCTTGATTCTCACATCTTAAACACTTTGCCACTTAAAGTATTTGGATGTTTAACATATGTCCACATTCATAAACATCTTCGTGGAAAATTAGACCCAAAAGTGTATTTTTGTTGGGTACTCAGCAAATAAAAAAGGATACAAATGTCTAGTTCCGGAAACCCGCCGATTTTATAATACCATGGACGTCACCTTTTTTGAGAATCAACCATTTTATCCCACCACTGATATTCAGAGAGAAACATTCACTCAGGAATATCAGTTGTGGGATGTGTGTGTACCACCTCTCTACCCACAAAATCCATCGCCAGACAAACCTTCCTTGGAGATTGAACCCAAAACCTCACAAAAGAAATCAGAACCAAAACCTATTATAGAAAGCACATTACCTGCAACGAGTGAGTTACGTGTCTATACAAGAAGAAACAAAGGAAAAGCACCCGAATCATTCAAGCATTGCCATGAATTCCCCACTGATCTAGGTAACGTAATCTCTGTACTAACTCTTGATTCCGTTAATTATGATATTCCTATTGCTTTTAGGAAGAGCACTCGAACATGCACCAAACATCTTATACAGGACTATGTTTCATTGGACAAATTATCCTCGGAACATCATGCTTTTGTGAGCAGGATAGACAGCAGTTCACCTGAACCCAGAACAATACATGAGGCTTTGAAAATTTCAGAATAGAAGTTAGCTGTCCTAGATGAGATCAGGGCACTTGAAAAGAATGAGACATGAGAACTAACTG